GTTTTTATCTTTGGACCTTCTTTCTTTCGAACAATTAACATCAATCCGTTTAAGTATGAGGAAGTAAACATTTAGTCTTTAATCTCTCTCACATCGTGATAGGTGCTAGTCAGAGAGCATGCAGAGATGGAAAAACAAAGAAAGAAAAAATGTCAAAATAGAGAAGAATTGAAAAGAGACAAATCGATTGTGAACCATCAAGTAGAAAAAAATTCATTCATAATAAGAGATTGACAGAATCGACTGGTTAAAAACATTTTTATTTTGATTTCGTTCGTTCTATTGTTTATGTCTATTGTTCAAACACTGCATTTCTATGTATATGAATGAATTGCAACTTTAATGTACGATTTAATTTTTGAAGTATTTTTCTTACAACTTCAGTTGTTGTGAATCAGTTTTAGTGTTGAGTACGGGTGTCAACCTTGTTGTCATCTACATCTTAATAACTCTTCTTTTATTAATGTTATAGATTGTTCGATATATTTCCTTTGTTTGTTTTTTTTCATCCTACCGAGACGACCATTACTTATCGTAACAGATACCTTTAACAACATTGCTTCTCCTCCTCCCGTATCACGGACGGAGAGGTTAAGTAAAAAGATGATGAAGAAATTTGTCCCGAAACATATAGAATTAAACAATCTTCCTATAATCAGTCAGAGTAGCTACAATTGTGTTTTACATTTTAAGTTCATAAGAATTGTACTAATAACATTATAATGTTTTTTTTTTTTTTCATATTTATAGCAAGATCAAATTGTTTTACAATTATTTGCATGTATGGATAAAATATGGCAAGCAAATGATTTTGATTTTCGTTTAAGTTTATTTAATGTTGTACAAACACAAGAACGTTGTGGTTTTATTGAAATGATAACAGAAAGTGAAACATTAAGAGAAATTGAATCACGTTCAGGAACAATTAAAGGTTCATTAGGTGAATCAGCTTTATATGATTGGTTACGTTTACATAATACAACAGATCGAGAATTTCGAATTGCTTTAGAAAATTTATCATATTCATGTGCGGCTTATTGTGTTGCGACGTATATATTAGGAATTGGTGATAGACATAATGATAATATTATGGTTAAACAATCAGGACATTTATTTCATATTGATTTTGGAAAATATTTAGGAGATACACAAAAATTTGGATGGTTCAATCGGTAGGTGTAAAAATTGAATTTTAATTAAGATAATTAGAATTTACATGTATTTAAGAAATAATAAATGGATAATATATTGAAAATAGAATAGATTCGAAAGATTAGAGTAGCGCTCCTTAAAAAAAAATAACCTATCGGAGAAGATCGAGAAAGCCAAAGGTAAGTTCGTTGGTCTGTAAGTCTTGCTAAAGTATGAATAAATAGGAAACAATTTATCTTATACTTTTATCGGCGAGAAAACTCTACCGTACTTTTCCTTTTTGTTCCAAAGAAGAAAAGTCCGATAGATTTTGCATTATAAACTCTTATAGGTTTTGAAATAAATCATTTTGATTTTAACAAATCTTAAATGACAAACAGATACATTTCAATTGTTATTTTTTTTTTTTCAAAAGTCTATAAACTATTAATTTCGTTTTTCTACTTGTAATAGTATTTCAATTTCAAATGATAATTATCTTATTTCGAAAAATTTTCATTTCCTAAAAATATTTACTATTGATAAAAATTTTCTAAATTTAGTGATCGTGCTCCATTTGTATTTACAAAACAAATGTTATATGCTATGTCTGATCGTGGTACATCTAATGATGCCTTACATCGTTTTGTTGATTTATGTTGTAATGCATTTTGTACATTACGTGAAAATTCTTCATTACTTCTTTTACTTTTATCTCATTTATGTTCATCAAATGTATTAAATCTTAATTATGATGCTGTTCGATTTGTTTATGATCGTTTATCACCATTTTCTAATTATGCACATAATATAGCACATTTTACTGAACTCATTGTTGATAGTTTAAATTCAACATGGACAACATTTAATTTTTTAATACATACATTTGCACAAACAACAGGTTCAACAAGTTCATCAAATACAATGCCTATTGGTACAACATTATCATTTGTACCAAAAACATATACAATAGCAACAGATGGTAAAATAAAATCAGCACATGTTGTTAGTTATGATAAACGTACACATCCAACAAAACATTATTTATATAAATTAAAAGTTGAACGTGAAATAATTGATGATGCTATAATGATGCATAATCAAAATACAAAACGTTTATATATAACATATCATTATCGTACATATAATGAATTTTATGAATTTTTTGAACGTTTAAATAGACAATTTCCATTAAGTGGTTTAGATTTAAAATTTTCTCGACAAACAGAAGATAAAATTGTTGCTCAAAGACGTGTTAGTGATATAAATGATTTTCTTGCAAATTTATTTCGTTTAACAAATGAAGTTGTTGAAGTAAGTTAATAGAAAAGTAAAAAAAAAAAAAAAAAAGTATAATTGAATTTTTCAATGATTATAAATAATATTAAATCAACCTATTGAAGAAATTTTAATATATCAAAAAACAAAAAAAAAAATGAATATTAATCTTCTGTTTAAAAATGTTTTCATTATTCTTTTTTTTGTTTTTTATAGTCTGACCTTCTTATTACATTCTTTCATATGATTCAACAAGATCAACAAATAAATGATTCAAAAGAAAAACCTATTGATGGTAAATGAGTAACATTATGAAAAAATCTTTTAAATTCTATATTTTTTTTTTTTCTGAAGATTTTTCATCACATTTTTCTCATGATTCATCATCAAATAATCGACCAAAAATTCGCATACAATTAAAATATGATAATGGAAAATTATTTGTTATGGTTCGGTATGCAAACAATTTGGTAAGACGAACAAAAAAAAAAATATGTTTATTATTTCATATGTTCTATTTAGCCGTTAATCAATGGTAATGATCCAAATCCATATTGCAAATGTTATCTATTTCCTGATGCATCGAAATCAACAAAAAGAAAAGGAAAAACTATCATAAATACACGAAATCCAATATTTAATGATACAGTAAAGAGTTCTCTTTTTTTTTGTATGAGAAATCGAAAGTTTTTGTTTGTTTTTTTAGTTTACATATGAAATGGATTTAGCAGAAATTCAAAAGTAAGATTTTATTAATGAATGATTTGAAAGTTTTTCAGATACTTCAAAAACTATAAGTTGAGATGCTCTTTTAGAGTGGGTGCAAAGGTTTCAAAAGGAATATGAGAAAATAAAAATTTTTGTCGGATTTGCAAAAAGAAGGACTCCAGAAAAGCAAAGACTATTTTCTCAGCACTTAGAACAGATATATATAATTTTGTTTAGGGCTACATAGAACGATAGAGTAAACATTTCTCTATAAAATGAGAAATCGCCGGGTTCTCTAAGTTGTATTTCAGCTGTGAGATAGCAATCTGACGGAAGCTCCCGAAGTTGTTTTTTTCCAATTTCTTATAAAAAAAAAACATTTTTTGATCTTCAATAAAATTAGTTTATCTCAGCTAAAAAATATCGCCGAGAATTTAGAGATGCGTCATTTCATGGTGACTGGTTTACCCTATTGTTCTATGAAATGTAAACAAAATTATATTTATGCGCTCCAGGTGTTTGAAAAACTAGACTTTTGGTTTTGGTGGGGCCCCTATTTTTGTAAATCCAATAGTAATTTTTATGGGTTACGGCCACTTGCCTGCAGAACAGTTGCCCGCCGGACAGATACCCGCAAGAAACTTGCCCGTGTGATACGTGCCCGCAATGGGCAATGTTGAGGGTGAGGATGCGGGCAAGCATCATACGGGCAAGTGTCTTGCGGGGATCTGTCCGGCGAGCATATGTTCTGCGGGCAAGTGGCCTAGATTCAATTTTTATTTCTACTATTTTTGTTTGTCTTAAATACTCATTTTTGAAAAATCAACAACCGTTTTACGTTAAAAGGAATTCTGAAAAAATGCTTATAGCCTCAATTGAGTAAAAGCTACAGCTTAGTTCAATATGACATTTTGTAGAGAAATGTTCGCTCTACAAAATGATGGACTCCGATAATTTTTAGCCTGTTTGAAAAGGTACTTATGAAAGCAAACAAAAACCTGTTGGCTTATCACTTTCAAGTCTTTCAAAAAGTTCCTCATTACACTTAAATAAAAATAGATACAACATTTTAAAGTTCATATTCAAATTCTGATCGTGACCTATAATAAAGTACTTTGGAACAGGCCTACATGAACAAACATATTCATCAGAAACGTCGGTCCACAAATTCTAACTAAATAATTATTTTAGACTTTTCAAAGATTATTTCACTATTCTCGAACAAAAACTGAGACAAAATTTCTAAGACAAATATTCGAAAAGAACATTCTTACTTACAGGTTTTGGCTTGTCAGAAATACTTTCTAGTGAATAAAAAGTGAACAAAACATCTTGTCTAAAAACTTTCCAATCATTCATTTATAATAGATAAAGAAAAACTTGTTTTCTTCTGTATTTTAGACGTCTTCTTCGTGTAAGTGTATGGAATAATGTATTAACTGTTGGTAATCATGTATTGGGCGAAGTTGATATTGTACTATCTCAAATAGATTGGTCAAAAGAAAATGCTCGTGATTACACATTTTTTTCAACTGATTCATAAGAACCTTCAAAAAAAGAAACAAAAACCAGAGTTTTATCTCAATGGTGCTTGTTTATTTGAAACTCATACCGGTTAATAGAATGAAAAAAACAATTTGACAATTTTCAATCTACTATTCATTTTCCTTTTTTTTTGTCACTTCCAGTGTATGTGTATAAAATATATATTAAAATTGTAAATTCAATTCTTTCTTTTTTCTTTTTTTTTTTTAGTCAGCTCTTTTCTTTTACTTTCCGTTTAATGTGATTATATAGAAGGCAACCAAAAAAAGAAAATTTGTGAATTAAACAAATAAAATCTTTAGGAAAAATAGAAAGGCAATTTTTATTTCAGATATTTCATGTCTATTAATCGATATACGCGAACGGCAACTGATGTACTCAGTTTACGTTTTAATCAAGATTCAAGTAGAAATTCAAAGATTGAAATTTATTAATTTAGTTTTTATTTTATTCTTTTATAGCTTGTTTTATATGTGCTACAGGTGATGGTATTCGAATATTTAATGTTGAACCATTTGCACAAAAAGGTTTTCTTGGTAAAAGAAAAAAAAAGAAATAGAAGAATATTTATTTTAGTAAATTTTAATCAACATTTTATTTAGATGTTGGACGTGCTACCTATGCAGAAATGCTCTATCGTACAAATTTAATAGCATATGTACCGGCTGATCATGTTACAGGTTTACCATCGAATGTTGGTATGAGAGAATTGTTTTTTTTTTTGTTTCAATTGTTTTTTTTAAAATTTAAATGAATGTTTTAGTGAATGTATATGATGATGAACGAAAAGTCCATGTACTTGAACTTTGTTTTAGTTTACCAGTTGTTTCTATACGAATGTCAAGAACAAAGTTTGATAATAGAATTGATTTTTTTTTTCTTCATTTTCTTAAGTGGAAAATTTTTGTTATAGACTTATTGTTGTACTTGTACGCAAAATTCATATTTTCTCTTTTCCTAATCAATGCCAACTTTTACATACTATTGATACGAAAGATAATCCAAGAGGTTAATTAATAAAAATTATTGATCTAGAGAACTTTTTTAATTTAATTTTGTTTTTTTTTGTAGGACTTTGTGAATTATCAAATAATGATGGGTCATTACTTGTCTTTCCTTTCAATGCGAATACTAAAGGTGGTTTTGTTCAATTTTTAGTAAGTAAAATTTTCAATTCGTCTGATGAATATGAGATGTTAAAAAAATAAATACAAATTTCTTTGATAAGTGGCGTTGTTTTGTTTTTCAATATTCATGAGAAAAAATCTTCATTATTAACCCTTTACCCCCCATGGAGGTTCCAGAAGAGTCACTGATAAAATAACTTTATTAATATAGTACTACCCTCGCTAGTATGCAAATGGCATAATCTGATCCATCGAATGTTCTGCTCCAAGAGTAGGACGATTTGATTTATCCAGAAATCATGGGGTAGGAAAAGAAAATTGAACTACACCGTAAGAGTTGATTTTTATTCTTTGACCACAATATTGAGTGCACAGAAGGAACATCTATCTCGCGCTATTAGAATAATGGAAAAAAGACGAGAAATAAACCCNATATTTGTTTTAATATTGTTTTCAGCATTATCAAATGGTATCCGATCCAATGGAGCAAGCTGATATCGATACGACAGGTTAATTATTGATTATGATGTTTTGTGTAGGAAAATAATATTATATTTATATTTAGTTTCGACAACATATTCGACTAGTCGCAGTATTGAACAACAACAACAACAACAACAAAATAATAATAATAATAAACATACTTGGTATGCTTGACTCTTATTTATAGGAAATCAAAATTTTCGAATAGTAAAATAATGCATCTCTTTGAACGATTTTATGTCAAAATTAAATAAAATATTTTTTTTTCTTTAATTCTTTTTTACCTATATTATAGAAAAATTAAACAATTGAATTAATTTTTTTCTATAGGAATTCCGAGCAACGAAAGCCGGTTTATGGTAGTGATAGTCATTTAATGAATTCCAATGGACACAATTCTTCTTTTAGTCGTCCATGTGTGAGTTTATATTTATTTATATTATTCTCATAGTTTTGTTTAAATTATTTCATATAGTACTCACCTACGAAAAGTGATTATGCTCATGTAAGTAAAATTGTAATGACACCACAACGAGTAAGTCATCATTTTATTACTTTCATATGTTATTATCTATATATAAACTCAATAAAAGGAATCAACTTATGATCTAATCAAATCAGCTAAATCTATAGCAAAACAAAATACAACAACGTTGCCAAAAACACCAATAGAATCAAATCGAGTAAATGAAAAAGCCTAACATGTGTGCCAGAATAAATGTCTTTTCTCGTTAGTTTCTCAATATCATTGAAATTTTGTTTTAAACTGATTCAGTTCTCTACAAGAACGCTTCACGAGTTTCGCTCCATTAAATACTTAGCAACAATAATTAGAGAAATAATATTGAGACATTTCAACATGTCTAATTTTCAAAAGTTGTTTTCCTTGCATTATTTTTCTAGCTTTATACAAATAAAACAATACGACAGAGTACTTTGAAAAGAATAGCTAAGTACACTCTTTCTCATGATGTACAGTAAAGTCCGTTTTAACTGAATATGTTGAAGTAAGCATTGATTTTTTTATAACTGAACTGGATAAAACATAAAAATTGACTCATTTTATTCAATCCACACGAATTATGAGCCCTATTCAAATTCTAGCATTTTAATCTAATGTACCATTTGTTTCTCTTGAAATTGAAATAAAACTATCTTATATTGACTTATTGTTTTCGTCTACTTATGTAAATTCTTCTGAGAATTCAAAATTTTCTAATTTACAAACTGTTATTTTGCTAAAATTTGGAAAAAATAGAAATGTATCATTTGTGTAGCAGATATTGATGCAAAAATTTTACTATCATAATCAAACGTTAGACCTTATCGACAGTTATGGCATTGTTATCTGTTTTTTTGTTTTTCGTTAGTTTCAAATTCCAACGAATACATCTAAACACATTGGTTTTTATTTGTGAAAGTTGGACATATTGGAAGTTCAAAGTATTATTTATCAAATTAATCGGCTTAGTATTTAGTATAGCAAAACTTCTTATATGTTCTTACAGGAAATTGAATAATGAGTTTTTAAAAAAAAAAAGATTAAGGCATAACAAATAAATCTTGACCCCGACATTGAGAAAATACTTACGAGCAAAGTCCACCAATCGATTCATCGCTATTGAGTCGCAAGTATGTACATTGTATATATTCTAATGGATTATGAATATTCCCGAAAAAATTTCAGTCTCATAATAATAGAAAAACTGATTTTTGAGTTTCGACTTGAAACTTTGCATAGAAACATTCCAAAAATGTCAGATATTTTTATTGATTTTTTCTTAAGATATAACTATAGTAAGAGTGCATCTTTTAGATCGATCATGCACACTCGTACAACCGATGTTTGTATTTCAGGATAAGCACAAATTAAATGATCTGGTACTTACAATTAGTTGTTTTATTTAAGACTTGTTTCTAAGCAAAGTTTCAATTCGAAAATCAGCTGTCCTGATATTTCTAAGGAAGGACTACAGCATTGTATTGAAAACAATCATAAAAAAACTACAGGTTCTTCGCAGCAATAAGCTAAAGTGTACGAGCTTTTTTCAGAGTATTCATAACGTATAAGGATCTACATGATGCACATAGTCTTGACTTAGAAATGATTAATCAACTGATGAACTTTCCAGATTAGAAAGACATTTGTTCTTTTACATTAGTTAATTATTCATTTTTCTTATTTATTTGTTTTTGTTCCCAGAGACAACAATCAAGTACTAATATTTTTGGTGTATATCCTTATGCTCGAACAGCTATACTTCATGTTGCAAATGCTATAATGCCAACATCTTATCAACGTCAACAATCAATTCGTTTACCAAGTACAAAATCCCGTCATCATGATCGTTAATTCATAATGATTAAAACTTGATTCCACTAAATGACCAAAGAAAAAAAAAACTATTTTCTGTTTTTTTTTATTATTATTATTATTATTATTTGATTCTTCACTTGATGACATCTTTGTGCATATTTATTCTGTTATAAACGAAATACTGAATAATTCTATTGTTATATATTGAAACAAAGAAAGAAAGAAAGAAAACTAAAAAAGAATACATGATTTTTTTTATTTCACGACATTTTTGTACTTTAGTTACGGTTTCTTTTTTATAGTATTAAGTTATTCTTATCTTCATACGTTTTTCTTTTTTGCCACAATTCATGATTGAGATCTTTTTTTATAAATATACACATTTCTTTTCTTTTCTTTTTTTCTATTTAAAGATGAGCGCTAAATCATCAAGTCGTATAACATCACAAGCAACTGCAACATCATCAAGACCAAGTACACGAACACCAAAACCACAAACTGATTATACAGATCAAGAAGAAGAATATAAGTAAGTAGAAGAAAGAAGAAAAATGATATGATATTATTTATTTAAATAGACGATTAAATGCACAACTTGAAGCAAAAACACAAGCACTTGTTGAAGAAGCAGAACAAGTGTTAGTAAGTGTTAATTAGATGAAAAATTATTATTTTTTCTTTGATAATTCTTTATTTTCTTAAAGAGAAATCAAAATCGATACATTTCAACAGATAATAATGATCGAACATATAGTTTACTTGATCAAGTTGATACAGATGATCAATTATTTGGGTTAGAAAATTAAAATATTCATTTTTATGAATATTATTCTTAAAATTTTATATGTAGAGATCTGCAAGCTGCTTCATTAAAACCAAAAGATCTGAAAGTAAGGAGTTAACTTAATATTAGAATAATAATATAAAATAAAAACCTAATTTGACATTATTTTTTTTTTTTTTTTTTGTTTTTAGAAAACTCCATTACCAACACAACAACAGGAAAATTTATCAGCAAGAAATAGAAAACCATCTATTACGTAAGTCAATTGAAATGAATTTATCTCAACAAATGATTCATTTTTTTTCTTTTAGAAAATTTCGTCCAAAAATAGGAGATGAAGTTGCTATTGTTGATGATAATCGATATGATCAATCAATTGATCGTAATATATTACAAGATCAAGCTCGAAGTACATTTGATAGAACAGTTGCTGACATTGAAACAAAAATCAATCGTACAAAAATCAGCGTCAATACAAATATTATGGATAATGATGAAGATGATATTTTTCCAGGTGCTGCAAAAGATATGGGCTCTGGTAAAGTTTAATCAATGATAAATTATTCAATATATTTGTGTTTGTTTTCCTTTCCAGAGGCTAAAATTCGTTTTCTCAAAGCACGTCTTCGTGTCATGCAAGAAGAACTCGAACGAATGCATACAGAATGCGTAAAACGTGTAAGTTTTAAAAGTTAAATTTATCTTTTCCAACAAACAAAAACGAAATGGATATAAAAACTCACTATTTCAACTTTTATTCAATATATCTAAATCTTTCAACATATAGATGAATCAATCATAATTCCAATTATGAATTTGTAGACTTTACAAAGAAGAGAAAATTCAACAGAATGGATTGACTATTCTCACTAACTTTTCTTTTAAGATTTATTGAAGATGATGTCGATTTAGTTTTTGTGCAACACGATCTAAAAGGAGTGTTAAGTTATAAAGGTAAAAATTTGGATCCTCCAAAGACCATGAAAAGCGTTGTTGAAATACTGTCACAGACCGTATATCAAAAATGTCTCGTTAATACTCTCGTTATGATTAGCAATAGCAGTTACATTGCATTTCACATTTTAGCTCTGCAGGGATTGTGCTTAGAGTTTTTTTATAGAAAAAAAAATTGAAAACGAAAGCTTAAATATTCTCTAACTTTACTATTTTCTATTATTGACTCTTTATTCTTAAATATTGGATGTTGAAACACATCGTAAGACTTGTAGTAATATCTCCAAGAGTAAGTCCTAGTTGTTTTTGGAACTAACTAGTCGACAGTTCATTAGTCTTGATATTGTCATATACATAAGATAAATTCGGTGTATATCAATTAGAGATTCACAAAACAATCTCGCACTGAACCGTGCCATTGCTTCCATGTGAATGTGCTGCACATCTCTTTCATATTTTGGTTTGTGAATGCATAATTTCAGTGTCCTTTCTAAAAAGTTCTAAACTATGGCACGGCGAAAAGCGCAAGATTGTCTCGTGAATCTTTGACCTCAATATGTCCTTATTAAAAATATTAAAAATCATTTTTAATGTGACTGTGAATCAATAATTGATTGTTAAAATTTTATTATTTTCAATTTTCCATTATCTTTTAGGAAGAAGAAAATGAACGTATAAATTTAAAAGTAAAAGAATCTGATGATGATCGAACACGTCTTAATCGTGTTATAACAACATTACAAGATCAATTAGAAAAATATAAAAAATTAAGTAGTGATACAAAATCAAAACTTGATACAACTGAAGTTGAACTTAATTCTTTACGAAAAGAATTTGAACAAACAAAACGTCAAACAAAAAAACAACAACAAGATCAAACACAAACCGATACAAAATTAAATCGTGCTTTAGAAGAAGCTGAAAGATATAAACAACAATTAAATAAAATGCAACAAACAACTAAAGATATTAATGAACAAGATAAAAAAAAAATTGAACAATTAACAAATGAAAATCGTCGATTAGAAAAACAACGATTAGAATTAATGAATGCATTTAAAAGACAATTGAAATTAATTGATATACTTAAAAAACAAAAGGTTTTTGAAAAAAAATAATTATTATTAGTTTTTTATTTTCTATTTATTATTTATTTATTTTAGCTTCATCTTGAAGCATCAAAAATGCTTCAATTCGCTGAAGAAGAATTTTGTAAAGCAATTGAATGGAATACTTCATAATTTTATTTCTTCTTATTGACCTTGCCTCTACATGTTGTTTTTGTAAAGAATAAAAAAAAAACAAGTCTATCATGCTTTTTTTGTGAATAATTATTCTAGCATAATGTTCGAAATATTTTTGTACTTGACTGTCGCAAGAAATGAATACAGTGAAATATATGATCCGAAAGCCTAAAGTCTGCAAGAATCCTAAGAAAAACAAGTCAACAAGATTTAAAAATGTCCAATCTCGAACTTTAAGATGCTTCTATGATTCCTTGTATGTCTCAAAAAACACTTGGACAATTATTCTAATACTCGATACTGTTCGAACTAATTGGATAATTTTTGAGTTCGAATGCGAGTTGTTTGCGTTCGATTCATGTTTATAATGCGTTAATATAATTACTAAATATTTTTTTTTTTGCTTAAGCTCGTCATTGCTTCTTTGATAGAATACGAGAAAATCGTTAACATCTTGTTTATAACATGAACTGCCATTTGATGATTATTATTATGCTCGATTATCGAACGATAGTTATATCATTGTGAAAATAGAGTGTATTATTTTATTGATATATCTGCATAGATATTAATCATATTTGAAACCATCTTATCTAGGAAATAAATCCATTGCTTATTTAACCAAATCAATAGGTAGAGATATCGATACACTTGATCATTAAAAATATGTCTTTATGTATTTGTTAATATGACGAGCTCATTCTTTTTGTTTTGTTCAAGATTCAATTATATTGAATGTTAATAGAAAAAAAAAACGACATGAAATTTATTTATATGTAAATTACGATTGTTTAGAAATAAACGTTAACAGAAGAATGCTGGAGTATAAAAATGCAAAGTTACAAATGACATTTTTTCTTATATTCTTTTGAATATTTTAATTTTTTTACTCAATAAACTTGTCAAACAAGAATAATTGTATATATATTGATAAATTAGTATCCAAATTGAATTGAATTCATAACACAGTGTAGCAACTAACGTATAATCAACGCTGTTAGAAAGCAGATTCTATTGAATCTTCTCTAGACAAGTTTCATTTAGTTTTGTTGATATGTCGCTTTTTCCTAGTAGCGTCACTCCAACTACCAGGCAGATTGTGCAACCCTGCAAAAATGAATTAAACTAATGTATGTAATTAGTAGAGTAAAATGTTATTTTTTAGTTTTGTTATATGGCATGGCTAATGTTATTCTAGCTTATATTCAGTAGATATTTAAAAAAAAATATAGTACATTATTGTAGGCAGAATGTTAACATGCTTCTTTTTGTTTGCACTAGATAAAAAAAAACAACGTATAAACCTTGTTATGTCTTCTTCAATTAATGAATATTTCTTTCGAATTATATAAATGATCATCCTTTTGATTTAATGAATGTTAGTCCATTTAACATGATTGTATAATGGATTTCTAAAGAAATTCTTTGTATTCTATCGATATTCTTTCAACAAAACGATAAATATTACATTTATAAGAAAGCAATACGAATAGATGAAATTCTATCATCCATTTTCTTATTTATAATAGAAGTTGAATATTTTTTTTAAACAGAGTTATGTACAAAGGAAATTAAAAAGTATTATATAAATTCTGATTAAAAATCTTAGAAAACGGAAAAAATATTTTCCTGTACATTGTTAGAGATTAAACTACTTCAAACATTAATCATTAAGCCTATGAAAATCATAAAACATTTATAACACGTATCATCATGTATAAATTTTATTGATGTTATTTACAGTTTAAATTAAAATCAATAAAACTATGAACAATTTCTATTATTTAATTCTTTTTCTTTTCTGTTATATATAGTTAAAACAAAATTTTATTTCCCTATAGTTTAATTTTATAAAGGCCACCGTTTCTAAGCAATAATTGTCATCAGTTACTTTCCTTGTTTTTTTTTTCTCTTTTATATTTTTTACTTCGATAAAATATAGATTGCTCTTACTTTGACGCTATTATGTCGTTTTTATTCATGAACAAAATGATGATGATGATGGCGGTGGTGGTGGTGGTGATGGTGAGCGAAATAGAGAGAGTGAGTGAGAAAAAAAAAAGAAGAAAAAAAAAGTGAAAGGCAACTTGACAACTCTCGTAGCATACTTCTTTCTCGGGTGTGCAGCTTCCTTTCTCGTCAATTGTGTATTCAAAAGTAAGACGAGAAAGAAAAGTAAAAGAAACTTTTGTGTATATTTCACAGACGACTTTGTCAATCGACAACAGAAAAAGAGAAAAGGGGAAATAAAAAAAAAGAAACACAATCAGCTGCTATACACTTTTCCTAAATTCATTTTTTTTTATATTGTAGTTCATCCACAAGTGAAATGCAGAAAGTAATTGAATGTGTACCAAATTTTTCCGAAGGTCAACGAAAAGAGGTAATTGACACAGTTGATTAAGATCAATAGTATAATTTATTTGTTTTAGGTTATTGATACAATAGCTCATGCTATTGCAGGTGTTGAAGGTGTTGCTTTACTTGATATTGATCCAGGCTTGTCAACAAATCGAACAATTTATAGTAGAGGAAAAACAACAATTGATGATTGCATGTAATTAATTTCCCTGTCTTCTTTTGTTTTTAGCCTTTGTTGGACATCCACAAGCTGTAATTGAAGCAGCTCTAGCTGCCGGTCGAGCTGCATATAATTTAATTGATATGACAAAACATACTGGTGAACATCCTCGTATTGGTGCAATGGTAAGTGACGATAGAATCATTTCTCAAGAAAGATAATTGAATATTACTCATGAATCAATTTACACACGAGAATAATTTTCGAAATTTGAAATATTAAATTTTTTTTTCTATTGGTTTTCTTTTAGGATGTTGTACCATTTGTACCTGTACAAAATGCAACAATGGCTGATTGTATTGATATAGCACGTGAATTCGCTGATCGTTTAGCTATGGAACTTAGTGTACCTGTTTATTTGTATGGTGAAGCACAAGAACGAGAATATCGTCGAGATTTATCTCAAATTCGTGATGGAGAATATGAAGCACTCTATAATAAAGTAAATTTTTATGAAGTACTATTTAAAAGAAGTGCTGAAGTATAGACATAAACATTTGGACTTCCCGCAGACACTTCAACAACGTCGTTGTCTATCACAGACTTCGACACGGAACTAAAGTCTTCTGTAGGATTAGTATGAAAGAAGATTGAATCTAAGATGTGCATCTTTGACTCTCTGTCTGAAGCCACCAGAGCACATGAGCACGATCATTAACCTCCATTGTAGATGGTGTTATCATTGTTTAGTAGACGGAGTATTCCGACCGTATTTTACAGTATGGTAAACGGGATTGGATACTCAATTTTCAGATCATTTGATGATTATTATTAACTGTGTACGGTACGATAAAATACGGTCGTAATACTGTACCTATCAAAATTTCATATACAGCTTTTCTTACGACCATAAACTATATGGAACAACAATATACATTACCATTTTTGATCGCCTCGGTGACTGTAATCATTGTCCTAGGTCACTATAACATAACGAATAACATCTTTCATCACGGACCTATCAGTACGTTGGAAGTCTAAAACTGAAGCACATATTGCAGAATCGTTTAATTTACAATATACTTAGATTGATCCATTTCACATTTTAATCTCGAAGAAATTGCAGTACGGATACTTTATTATATTTTTGTTCTGTTTTATTTAGATCCGAAAACCAGAATGGCAACCAGATTTTGGTAAAATTTTAATTTTTTTGTTTTTCTATATAAATAAACAAACATATATTAAATAGGACCTAATGAGTTCATTCCTACATGGGGTGCAACATGTGTTGGTGCACGAAAATTTTTAATTGCATATAATATTAATTTACTTGGTACAAAAGAACAAGCTCATCGTATTGCATTAAATGTTCGTGAGGAAGGACGAAGCAGAGAAGAAGTAAACATTGCCAAAAAAAAAAATTAATTAAAACTAAGAAAATGATACGAAATCAATGTTTATTTTCTAGCCAGGTAAATTAAAATGTGTTCGTGGTCTTGGCTGGTGGCTTGAAGAAGCAAATTTATCTCAAATTTCACTTAATTTATCAGATTTTGAAGTAACAAATATTCATACAAGTTATTTACAATGTGTAGCCGAAGCTGAAATGTTAAATATAGGTGTATGTGGTTCACAAATAGTTGGTCTCGTACCATTACGTCCATTATTAATGGCTGCTGAATATTTTATTCAAAAAGAAAATTTATTTATTCTTGATGAAGATCAAAAACTTCGTTTAGTTATACAACGTTTAGGTTTAAATTCTATAGCATCATTTATACCAAAAGAACGTATTATTGAATATATTATACGTGATCGTGAAGGACATGATGATACAATTAATTCAATGGAAATAAAAGATTTAATTAAACATATAAGCGCACGTACATTAGTACCAGGTGGTAGTTGTGTTACATCACTTGTAGCAACACTTGGTACAGCACTTAGTACAATGTGTGCATTACTTACATATGGAATGAGAAAAGTAAAATATTAAATTGAATTTTAAAAACTAGAATTTGAGATTTTTTATTTTTTTCTTAGTGGGAACCATTAGAACAAGAAATGCGAGTAATCATTGCACCATTACATGCAGGTACAAAAATATTGATGGATACAATGGAAACTGACACAGAACTTCTTAATGCATATATGACAGTACAAAAAATGGCAGAAACAAATGACGAAGAAAAACATTTGTAAGTTTAGAATTGAGAAAAAAAGAATACTCTTCGAATTTAAAGTAAAAGATATAATGCGTCGACTTCAGAATTTTTTGAAAAATTTAAAAATTAGAAATATCAAAAGAGATGAAAAGAAAGAACTAATCAATCTTATATATCTATATTAAGTTGTGTTCAGTTTTAATTGAAGTCTAGTTAAATCTAGGAAGTTGTAGAATTCGCCAGTGTTCTTTATTAAAGTTTAGTTTGCCGTGACCAACTTCGACTAAAGAAAAAATCTTTAAATTTATTTATTTTTTTAAAGTATTTTCTTAGCGATAGTTATTTGTCTGTAAATGCTACGTGGTTTTTAAATGATATATACACTCCTGGACAAAAGTAACCGCCTCCCCTGAAGTAGTTCGAATTTTATTGATATTGAGCTGAGTTTTTCTATACATGTGAATCATGATTAATGCTGATCGCAAGCACTGACCCGCTCTCAATTGATTGCTGTATACTTGAGTTATGAATCGAACATTATCTTCACCTTGTGATGACTAGAACTTAGCTATTTTAATAGATTTAGTTTCGTGGAACTTATCATTTAAAAGCTCATCATCGAAAATATCTCCAGTACCAGTTTCGCAGAAAATGGTTTTAAAAATGGCCAAGATATGATTTTCTCAATGAAAATTTTTGTTCATTGATTAAGTCAAGTTTTCATTCGAGCGTATGTAACTCAGGATGGTCTTGACAGATTTACTTGAAAATTTCAGTACAAAGTTCTCATATGCTCTTAAGTATTTTCTAAAAGTTTCATAACTACCACTTGTAATAAAATCTATATAGAACTAGAAGAACACTCCTCCATGACATTGCTTGCTAATCGCTGAAATCTCGATGCCATGCACTGAACTTTGGATATATAAAACTATGGACATAGAACTTTGTTTCTAGCTCAGAAAATCATCTAAGACCAGATCTGTAATAAGAGAAATAAATAGAATGAATATGACTCGAAATATATTAAAGCAGCTGAGTTCTAGTCATCATAAGGTGAAGATAATGTTCGATGAATAACTCAAGTATACAGCAATCAATTGAGAGCGGGTCAGTGCTTGCCATCAGCATTAATCATGACTCACATGTATAGAAAAACTCGACTCAATATCAATAAAATTCGAACTACTTCAGGGGAGGCGGTTACTTTTGTCCAGGAGTGTATATATATAGTATTAATAAAGGATGTTTTCGTTTATATAGTCCCTGTGT